ATACAGTTTATAAGTGATATAAGCGTCTGAGTGATTATTTTATATGTGGATTGTGGGACTGTGGGGCTTGGTGGAACCTGGAGAGAAGCTCTCCAGCAACAGAAAACCACACACACAAAAAAGCAATGAAACAGGTGAGGGAAACAGTCCCAAGACCTGAAAAGGGAAATAGAAACAATGAAGAAGACACAAACAGAGGGAATGCTGGAAATAGTAAGTCTGAGTAAATGAACAGGAAACACAGATGCAAGCATAACCAACAGAATACAAGAGATGATGGAAGAGAGGTTCTCTGGTGTAAAGGATACAATAGAGGAAATGGATTCGTCAGTCAAAGAAAATACCAATGCCAAAAAATTATAACACAATGTCAGTTCAGTTTCTATGAGTTCCGATGAACCTTGCTTAATTGATTCTGTGGACTGTGTTCTCCTGGTGTCCTTAACCTGGTGGCTCCTTCCTCCGCCTCTTCCTCAGGATTCCCTGAACTCTGAGTAATGTTTGGCTGTGGGTACCTACATTTACTCCTATCAGTTGTTGGATGAAGCTTCTTTGAGGACCATTATGCTAGACTCTGGTCTATAAGTCAGCAGAATATTATTAGGAATCATCATTTTACTGATTTGTTTGTTTGTTTTTGCTTTTTTGTTCAGTGATGTTTGGCCCTATGATAGGTCGCTGGCCTATCCTCTGGTTGTTGGCCATCCAGGCAGTGTAGGCCCTGGGCTCTCTACATTGGCATGCACCTCAAGTTAGATCAGTCATTGACTGGCCACTCCCACAAACTCAGAGCCACATTGCCCCAGCACATCTTGCATGCAGGACAGGTTGTAGGTGAAAGGTTTTGTGGCTGGTTTGGTGTTCCAGTCCCAACACTGGAAGCCTTGTCTGGTTACAGAAGATGGCTGGTTCAGGCTCCATATGCTTCATTACTAGGAGTCCTGGGCAGGGTAGCTTCATAGGTTTCAGAAAGTTTCCAGTGGTGTGTTTCCACACACCTCCAAACTCTCCCCCAAGTTCTAATCGCTCCTCCCTCCCTTCCCTTCCTCTTACAACTGATTCTTCTGATTTCCATGCCCACCAACCCCAGTCTCCCACAAAATCTATTCTATTTCCCCTTCCTAGGGAGAGCCATGCAGCTTCCTTTGAATTCTATTTCCCCTTTCCAGGGAGACCCATGCATCCCCATTTGAATTCTCTTTGTTACCAGACCTTTCTGGGCCTGTGGATTGTACCAGGGTCATCCTTTATAGCTAATGTCCACTTATAAGTGAGTACATACCATATTTGTCTTTCTGGGTCTGTGTTGCCAAACTTAGAGTGACTTTTTTCTACTTCCATCCATTTGCCTGAAAATTTCATGATGTCAATTTTTTAACAGTTGTGTAATACTCCATTGTGTAAATGCACCACATTTTCTTTATCCATTCTTTGGTTTCATCTCAGCTGTTCCCAGTTTTTGGCTATTATGAATAAAGCTGCTACCTGAGCAAGTATCCTTGTGGTAGGATGGAGCATCTTTTGGGTCTATGCCCAGAGTGGTATAACAGGGTCTTGAGGTAGATTGATTCCCAATTTTCTGAAAAATTGCCATATTGAGTTCCATAGTTTCTGTACTTGTTTGCACTCCCACCAGCAATGGAAGAGTGTTTCCCTTGCTCTACATCCTCTCCAGCATAAGCTGTCACTTGTGTTTTTTAATCTTAGTCATTCTGACAGTTGTGAAATGGAATCTCAAAGTAGTTTTAATTTGCATTTCCCTGATGGCTAAGGACATTGAATGTTTCTTTAAGTGCTTCTTGGCTATTGAGATTCCTCTAGCATACAGATTTTTTTTTAACAAAAGAATCCATATGTTAGTCCTTAAATCTTTAAAATTTAATTAATTAATTAATTAATTGTGTTTTTATGTTTGTGTTGTGAGTACACATGCTAGGGTGAGTTTGTGGAAGTCAGAGGGCAACCTTCTACTGTGTGGGACCAGATTATTCAACTCAGGTCCCAGGTTTAGAGGCAAACCTTTATACTCTGACAAACCATCTCGCTGCCCAGCTTAGCTCACATCATGTAAAAAAAAAAAATAGTTTCATTTAATTCTCTTAATTAAAAAAAAACCAAAATTCTAAAACTTGATGAACCTAATCAGGACCTGCATCTGTTCTGAAAAGAATTCCTTTGTGTAATATGGAACAGACATTCTTATTACTCAAGCATGTGACATGTGTGCAACAGTGTGAAGAAAGTATGGTTATTACAATTCAAATCAGACAAAATGGATGTCCTGAAACAGTGGCCCAAGAGCCAGGGAAGAAGAGAGATCAGAAGAACAGGACAAACCACAGCCAACCTCACCTCACTAACTCCTCAGCCTCCAAAGAGCCTCACTTCCTCTCCCCACCCAGCTACATCACTTCCTCTTTCTGCCCAGCTCTATCACTTCCTGTCTATCTGTACTGACCTCCAGACCTCTATGGTTATCTAGTGCTGGGAAATAAAAGTGTGTCCCACCATTCCTGGCTCTGTTCCCAGTGTGGCCTTGAACTCCTAGAGATCTGGATGAATCTCTGCTTCCCAAATGTTAGGATTAAGGGTATGTGCTTCCACCTCTATGTTTAATATAGTGTTTTGCTTTTTCCTCTGATTCTCAGAGAAGTTTATTAGGGTGCACAATATATTGGTGGACACAATATATCACCACAGTGTCCATTACTCAGAAAACGCAGACTAAGATTTTTTTACTCTGTGTGTCATGATAAGGAAAACCGGAGAAAGGATAGGAGGGGCTGGTAGGCAGTGAGAATTTATGAAAAGGGAAAAGACATAGAGGAGGGAAAGAAAGAAGAAGCCAGAGAAAGACGAGGACTCCAGAAGCCAGCCACCCAACTACATAGCAAGCCATGTAGTAAGAAACAAAGAAAGGAGTTCAGGAGTAGAAAAGGAAAAGCCCAGACACAAAAGATAGATAGGATAATTTAAAGTTAAGAAAATCTGGCAAGACACTAAGCCAAGCTAGGGCAGGGCATTCATAAGTAGTAATAAGCCTCCACGTGTGAATTTATTGGGAGCTGGGTGGTGGGTCCCCCAAAAAGAGTAAACAACAATAACAACAACAACAACTCATCTTCTGAGGAAAAATGTATAATTCTCTGGAGTTTGTGCCAAACATGGACTACTTATTTTCAAAGGCCAGTACTTAACAAATTGAGGGAAAGGATTATAATAGTTTTTCTTTATAGAGAGTGAAGTTAACCTTATAAAATAGAGCTAGTAATGGATTAATAAATTTTTGGTTGTGAGCCTAGCCTTTAACAGCTGAGCCATCTCTCCAGCCCTGCGTGAGGCTCAGATGTCTGTGATCTGTGGGCCAAGTATTCTGTTTTCAATTCTATAGCACAGAACACTGATTAATAATGTAAAGAGACATCCACATTGATGTTCTGGTTTTGTTTTTTCAGCTGATTCAGGTGTCCCTTGAGTGACATCTCTTAAATGTTGGGGGAGTGGGGTGTCAGAACCAGTTATCTGGCTTCTGTTTTGTCCGTAGCTTAGACTTGTCCCTGTTAAAATTATCCCCTCACCCCTCCCAAAAATGGTGTGGCACATACTCATGCATAATCTGTTAAAATGAACATCTTTGTATTTGTATTTGTTTTCAACATTGCCAAGGTGCTATGGGAAATTAAAGTTACAAAATTAGAAAAAAATAAAATTATCAAAAAGCAAAAAAAAAAATATTCAAATTCTTTTAAACTAACAAACCAAAACTAATTCATAGTTTAAATCTAATGTAGTGGGGCCTGTTCCCAGGAAAGAGAGTAATAGATTTGAGGCTCCAGATTTGTAATCATGGTTTATTGGAATGGATTTCCAGAAAATAGAAGTGTGTGTGTGAGAGGAAGAAACTTTCGTAGAGAAAGCCTCTGAACACTTAGGAATAATATCCATGGAGTATGACAACGATTTGTGGTTTAGAGTCTTTACTTAGTGAGCATGCCGTGCTATAGAAGACATTGCTGAATGTTCTCACAATGTAATTTGTACATGAAAACTCTAAATGAGTTTTTAATGA